AGGAGAATGTCTGAGTGCTTCCTGGGGTTGCTCATGTTCACGATGACCATCTCGATCCCGGACCTGCGTACCTTCAAGTTGCCGGTGCGGATCCGCTCTGCCAGGTCATTGCCCTTGAGCATCCAGAAGTACCCCATCGGATGGAGAACCGGCGGTGACTGGTTGATGACGCCCTCGCAGCTGAACTCGAGCATGTCCACGTCGAGCTGCTTGAGGGCAAAAAAAACCCAACGTGGCCGCTGCGTGCGTGGACGAAGAAACCGGGAACAGGGATGCACCGGGATCCGGAAGGAACGGATCCCCCTGCGCAGCGAACACGTGGTTCTGGGCCAAGAAGTTCACGAGGGCAGATGTGTCCTCCTTGCTAATGTCGAAGCCGCCGCCGCCGCCGCCTTCCTCCGACTTGACCGCCGTGTAGCACATGAAGCCCAAACCCCCGCCAAGGTCGGGCCCGGGTGCAAGGGTCTGCCAGGCGCGGCTGGTCGTGGCCTGCACCATGACGTGCCTTGATCGGACGCAATCCCCTGGACCCCTAAACCCCTAAACCCCTGAACCCTTGAACCCCTGAACCTCTGAACCCCTGAGCCTATAATTAATATAAAATTAAATAACAATAAATGAAAAGACTTCCTGGCGTCCGATGTACTCGAATTCAAGGCTCCAGTTCGCCTCGTCGTGGAAAGGCAGCTCCTGGCAAGGATCCGAGAACAGCGGAACATAGTAGCCGCCATCCTCCACCACAATGTCTCTTGCAGAGCACGCTTCGGCCAGATTTTTCTTGGTGAACAGTGTGAGAACCACGAACTGGGTCTCCCCAATGGCTTCTGTCAGCTGGCGGCGCGATGAGCGCAGCTTCGCCTTCACAGGCTTGTCTGCAGCAGACGGGGCCGCCCCCAACTTGCGCATGGCTTCCTTGCGCTGCCATGTGCTGGCGTCCAGTTTCGTCGCCAGAAACAAGGCACGGAAGCCGATCTCCGGTGACTCGTAATAGGAATCCTTCTCAAACTCGGAAGCCGCCTCCACACTCTTCTCGTAGTCACTTGCCCTCAGCGCACAGTAGCCGAGACGCGACCAAGATCTCTGAGACTGAGTCTCTATCATTGGGTTCTCCTCCGGCTCGGCGATGATGGTGGGTGCCATATCTGCGGCGGCTGCTTTAGGATCGGCTGCGGCCATTTTCGCAGGCGGCATTGGGACCTAGTAGCCTATGTGAGCCAGGGAGCCTTGGAGCCTGTTGCCGCAGAAGCCTCGTATCAGATGCTGATAGTGACATGGCAAGACTGACACAACACACTGTCGCATGCAACTGTCATGTTCTGACAACTCAGCCACACAGCCAACCATGACTGAAATGAAACGACTTTGGGCCTGCCCCTCGACGTCCAGCTTGTCGACGACAACAGCCTCAGACAATGCAGTGACAAGTGACATGTGCATTGAAGGGTCATTTGCGTGCGTTGAAGGGTCATTCGTGTGCATTGAAGGGTGACAGGTGCTTCTTTCATCATTAAGGCACTGCTACCGTGACCCTTGGATGCACTCAAAACACCCTTGGATGCATGGAACAAGAGCTGCCGGGACCCTTGGATGCATCCAAAACACCCTTGGATGTAGCGCCGCGGCGGTTGGCGCGAATCCTGCCTGTATTGAAATGAAAGAGGAAGGCTATTGCAAGGGACAAATGGAACGTCAATACACCAGGGATTGGCACCAATCCATGGTGTATTGCATCCTACCATTCTCCTGCAATTAAACAACTGCAGGGGAAGTGAATTGCAAGGCCGTTTTGTCCTGCCAATACGCCCCGGATTGGCACCAATCTGCAGTGTATTGAGCAGGGGCTTGCAACAGGCTCTGTTGCAGGCACCTGCTGCCCCAGACAAGGTTAACCCTGCTTTGCGACACAGGCCCCCTGTACATTCCTGTGCGAACGACTAGACTAAAATGATTCGACCCCAGGAAAATTCCTGCGAACCTGGGAGCCAAGGAGCCAACGAGCACTGTCAGTAACTGCTGCAGTACAGGACTATGACGCACGAACTTTCTTGGGTTTCTTGGGGGGCAAATGCTTCATCTGTACACCAGCACCGGACAATGTCCGCTTCTGGGACAACCCCCGGACGGTGCGGAGGAAATTCCAGATATCGCCCTCTTCATTGATCTTGTAGGTGGTGCGCCTCTTGGTAGCAAATTGAGTGGGCAGTGGTTCGCCGACAGCAACACGCCACTTCGACTGGGGCAACTTCTCACAGAATCGCAGGGCCTCGAGGATGCCACGGGTCCTGATTTAAAACTTAAATTGAACCCAAACCCAACCCTAGACAATAAACCCTTCCTTCAACCCGAAACCCTTGAACCTCAGTGTCTGTGCCACCGAGCAACAGTTGAAAGCTCTTGGCGATCTCAAGGCCGACCAGCCTCGAAGTTGCAGCTGTGTTGAAGGACAAGAACGACTTCTCAGCATCAATCGTCGGTTTGTCCAAGTATGCCAGAATCGCCTCCCTGGAGGCAAGCACTTTGCCACAGCCGTACGCAATGATCAAGGCAGGAACCTGGGATGAAACACGTCAACATGCATCAGCAGTGACGATCTAAGCCTGGCATCATCCGACTTAATTTAATAAAATTAAAATACATTCAGCTTGGGACCAGTCGGTTGCAGCGGACCGTCTCCACATCGGACAGTTGTTCGAGGACCAGGATATCGGCGGCTTCATACTCGTACGGTCCAAGAATCTGGAAATGCTTGTTGCCTTGCAGCGACTTGCTGTCCGTGTAGCGACGATAGACCGGACATAGCTTCAGAGCTCGTTTGCAGAGGATGCTTTGCAAGACGGATGACCGGTCGTGGTCGTGCTGCACCATGCGCAAACCGCCAAGCCGTGCCGCCGTTGTTGTGTAAGCAATCTTGCCAGAAGATCGTCTCCGCGCTTCCTCTTGGTGACCTTGGCTGGATGACAATGACAGTGTATGGCACTTGAAATGACTTAGCACGGAAAGCAACCGTTGTGCTGCTGAGTCACCGTCATATTTCTGCTGTGCGCGCGCACGGAAATTCTCCAAATGCTTGTGGGCATCCGTTGTGGGGCGGGCGAAAGCCCAACGTGTGCCAGCAACACTGTTCTGGGCAGAGACAGACGCTGCCGGCAAAGGCAGGCTCAAGCCCGGCACGAAAGAGGCCGGCTTCCACGACCTGCCTTTCGAAGCAGCTGCCTCTGCTCTCTTCGCTGCCTCGGCGGCGGCTGCTTCACGGCCTCTGACAATTGCAGCCAGAGTTCCAGAACGTGCCTGGCGTGGCTTGCTGGGCCCCTGCTTGCGTTCTTTGTTGTAGGTCATGCGGAACCGACGCCCAAAGTGACGAATCCACAGTTCACCACAAAGAACCCCGAAGTCAGTTGGGGTCAGCACGGCACCCTCGCTCTCCGGCTTCCGGAAAAATTCTTCCTCTCGCTGGGGACCTTCAACTGCCACCTCGAGGATGGAGGCAATGGTTGAGCCATTTGGAGTGAGGGGTCCGGAATGCGCCTCCAGCTGTGTGAGCAAGTGTCCCAAATCCCTTTCCAGCGTGGTCGTGTTGATCTTCAAGGACAAGAAGAAAGCAATGAGGGCATGACAATCCTCTGTCCATGGAAGTTTGTGTGCATGCCGTGCACGCCACGCTGGCCGAAGCAACCAAGACCACGCATGTTTGTTCCCGAAGCCTGGGTCCTTTGACTTAGCTGCTTCTAGAAGAGGATGCAATTTGCGAGCAAATCGTCCAAACAGCACGGCTGTACCGGGCGAAAGCTTGAGCATATCACAGATCTTGCGTGTAGAGTCCACTAGCTCCTGTTGTCGGTTCGTCTCCTGCCACAGCCGAAGGTTGAATACCTGCAGAGCCACGGCGATCTCATCCTCCGTCAGATCTACTCGCAAACGCTCCAGCATCGCCTCGACCACGTGCGCCATAGTTCCCATGATCTGCCTTACATCAGAAATGCCGGCCTTCGTGCACAGGTAGTGGACTCTGTTGCCATAGAAGATCCTAGGTTTGCCACGGCGGGCATACCAGCGAAGCCTACTGGAACACAACCGCTATGACGACGACAAACTTGCAGGGTAGTTGCGGCTCTGGTGTCTGAATCTCCTCGTAAACTAACTGGGTTGCACACCTCCTGGGAGCCTGGGAGCCTGGAGCCTCGGAGCCGTCCACGGAACTGGGAACCTGCGAGCTGTCGGAGAGGATGTATCCATCCACAAATAAGAACCGCTGGCGCTTGGTGAACTCTTCCAGTACTCTGGGGGTGCAGGATACATCTGGATCCTCAATGTCAAAGTTCCTGCGCAAGAAACCCAGGCACTCAGATGTGTAGTCGCAAGTGAGTCCACAGCGCATGAGGGCTGCTGCATTCATGTTTTGCAAGGCGCGCTCTGCTCGGGAGCGAATCTCGACCGTGTTTCTCTCCTGTGTGTCATACAACTGACATTTCAACATACATGACATACATGCGTAGAGTACATACATACTATTACATTACATACATACATGCATACATACTACATACATAATACTTACATACATTTACATACATACATACATACATACATACATACATGCCATACATACATACATACATACATACACACATACATACATACATACATACTATACATACATACATACATACATACATCATACATACATACATACATACATACATACATACTATACATACATACATACATTGTATTATGTTAATAATAATATATGTCTAATAATACCTACATGCATACATACATACATACATACAATGCCAATACAATACATACATACATACATACATACATACATACGTATCATACATACATACATACATACAAACATACATACATACATACATAATACATACACACATACATACTTTAAATTTCTTAACGCTACACATACATACATACATACTACATACATACATACATACATACCTACATACATACGTACATTCATACATACTTACATCCATGCTTTACTTACATAATACATACTACATACATACATGCATACATACATACTCATACATAATACTTACATACATACATACATACATACGTACATGCCATACATACATACATACATACAATTCAATTTAGATACTACACATTGAAACTGAATTACCATGCATTAATACATACATACATACATACATACATACATACATACATACTACATATCATATACATAATACTAAGACTACATACTTAGTTATTATTGAATAAAAGTTAATATATTATAAAATTAATTAAATAGTTATTAATCATTGTCATTTATTAATTTAAATTTTATTATTATTAATTATTAAAATAAAAATTACGTACATACATACATCCGCACATACATGCATTAATACAATCCATACTAAGACTAAGATTTAATACACAATTAATTAAATTAAAATAAATAATAATTATTGAATTTAATAATTTTAAAATTTGTTTGACATAAGGACAAGACTCGTCAGCAGCCTGCATAGCACATAAGACAGCCATCGCACGAATCATGCACAAGTACTTCAGCATTGGTGTGGCCGACGAGTCAAACCGAGGTTGGGAGAACGACAACGCTCGGATCACCTTCTCCACACCAGCCTGGGAGCCATGGAGCCTGAGAACCTCTTGCTGGGCCGCCATGAGCCTGGCCTTCCAGACTTCTGAGTTCTGGATGTCCGGGATCAGCGCATGCTTGCCCTTGCCGGGAGCAAACAAACGCTCCCACTGGTCTTGGAACTCGGGCATGGCGTGAAGAGGGTCCTGGTAGGCAATACGAACCTGCTGCGCAGGATCATGGCTTACCCAGACCAGGTTAGGATACTGGCCGCCAGTGACCAACAACCTTCCACACTTCCGGGCAGATGTGCACTGATCGGCTGCAAAGTGCCGCACGTGCAGCTTCAAGCCGCTGCAGGACTCCTCGTCAGTTTTGCCTTCCGGATCCTGACAGGCCCTGTCAATGACTATGCCTATGCTGTCTGCCATCACCTGACTCTTGTCCGCATCGTGCTCCTCCACTGTGTTTTCAGGAACACTGGCACCTGTCTTGTAGACCCCAAGCAAGCCATCGGCGACAAGCGGGCCATCCTCCGAGCCTTGGGAGCCTTGGGAGCCTTGGGGACCTTGGGAGCCTGGAGCCGCTGACTGCTTGGCAGTGCGCGGTGGAACATCGCAACGGTACCTCCCCAAACGATACTCCTTGCGGTCGTCCACGGACAAGCTGATGCTGGTGGCTTGTTCGAGACGCTGCTTGCGAACACTCTTGACAGCCCAGTGCATAACAAGAATCATGTTCTTGAGACCTCAGATGATTAATTAAATTATTTGTCAAATTTTAAATTTAAATGTGCCAAAATAAAATGTCAACAATCTGAAACCTTAGGCCTTTTAAAGTGCTGCATCCTGGCTCACACTGTCAAGCTTCGTGTTCCTGCCAGCAGCGAAGTCTTCCGTGGAATAGAATTTCACGGCACCTTTGAAAGAAGATGCTGTCCGGCACGCCCGCCACGCTCGCAGCCAATCTGCCGGCTGAGGAACGTTGCCGGAGAAGAGGTGCTGATGCTTGATGCTGTAAGGCAAGCACTGTGAGATCGGCGTGTCAGGAGCTAGGTAAACCTTCGTGGCCACCTGGTGAACGAAGGTCTTGCTGTGAGCGTGTATGCAGCATGCCTGCATCGCACTCCTTCCAAAGTCTGCGACTGATGCCTTAAATCACAGCTGACAACGACAACATGATGCGGTCCTTGATCGGACCTCATAGGCACCCCACTTGGTAGAGAGGCGACTGCCCAGCCGTAGGCATTTAGGGCTGCGAAAGTTGGGCTGGTCACGGTCAGCCTTAATTTGATCACAAAGGGGCTATCCGCTCGCACTACACTGCACAATTCGGCCGGACTACAACCTCTTCCGCTCTGCTGGGTTCTGTGCCAAAACATTCATCAAGTGTGCACAAAAGTGACAGCCGATGCCCCAATCGCCTCCTCGGCGAGCTGGTCTCTGGCCCAGCCAAACTGTCCGCTGCTGCTTGCCCCCAGACGTGTGGGTGAGGCTTCCGGCTTTGCTCCAAACTTCCTGGAAGCGAAGGAACCTGACTGACATGTTGGGATTGTATGCAAACGGACGAGATCAAGTCGAGAATGCCGGAAGCAAGAACCAACCAGCAACTGCAACATAGTCAAGTAGCAAGTCTGCCACAAACAATAACGATCCAACAGAGAGAGAGAGAGAGAGAGATAGAGAGAGAGAGAGAGAGAGAGAGAGAGAAAAAGAGAAAGAGAGAGAGAGAGAGAGACGGAGAGCACGAGAAAGAGAGAGAGAGAGAGAGAGAGAGAGTGAGAGAGAGAGGGCGAGAGAGATAGAGAGAGAACGAGAGAAAGAGAGAGAGAGAGAGACAGAGAGAGAGAGAGAGAGAGAGAGAGAGAGAGAGAGAGAGAGAGAGAGACGGAGAGAGAGAGAGAGCGAGAGAGCCACGGAGAGAGAGAGAGAGAGAGAGAGAGGGAACCAAGAGAGCAATATGATAAAGCACCAAAAAGAAACATTAAATAAAATGACATGAATGTAATGTATGCATGCATGGCAGGCATGTAAGTATGTATGTATGTAGTATGTCTAGTTGCCCGGTTCAGAAACCTTATGAAGACTAACCTTTAACATTAAAAAAAAAGTAAATTTTTTACTTTCTAAATTTAATTTATATTATAATATTATTATTTAAAGGCTTTCTGAACCGGGCAGCTTGCATCGGCTGCATTTCTCGTCGCCACCACGATGGCGAGCCAAATGCTCTGCATCGCTCTCAGTCGCGAGACCAACATCGCCACATCCCTTTCCGGTGTCGTCGGCGCCCTCCTGAGCCAGGCCTTCGCCGGACTCGAGCCGAAGCTTCTTCGGGGCCGCAGGCACGGATCCTTGTGGACCTCGTCTTTTTTTTGCCGGCGTCCGGTCCTGCTTCCGGGAGCGTAGTCCGAACCGAGCGGCAAGACCACGCAGGGTGTGGCTACCCACTGGCATTGAAATCCTGCGGCCTTGGAGCCTTGAGCCTGGGAGCCTGAAGCGACCACGCAGCACTTACAATGACAAGCAAACGCAACCGTGGCAACCGTGCTAAGACTGGAACTGAATCAGACTCTGCAACTGGTCCAACCGACTAACCCGAGACCCGCGCCTCCGGCTTCCCGTTCGATCCGACAGCGAGCAGCTGCCTGGCAGACGTGAGGGTATTACCCCGAGTCAAGCAGCCCGAATGGCAAAACACTGCGAACTCCTATGCACACTGCGGCGGTTTGTTTCGCTGGGAGTCGGCAGGGTGACCCAGTCTAAATCTGATTCTGTACTGCTCGGAGCAGGCTTTCCCGAATTTTGCACCCGGCCTCACCTAAGTAGAGTCAGTCTATGACGCCAACTCCGAGTGGCCTAATTAGAAAACGCATGCCATTCCGGTCCGTCATTAATGACGAATTTAATGGCTACTTTGCCCAGCGATGGGCAAGACGGCACGCTAATGGGGCTGTGGCACCCTTCCTCGAGCACTTCTTTGCTGACTGCGGTCTCACGACTTTCTGCCAACGCTTTGCCAAAGCTGACATGCCTTCAGCCTTCTGAGCCTTTAGAGCCTTTGGAGCCTTTGGTGCCTTTGGAGCCTTCTGCGCCGATGCAGCCTTGGGCGCCTTGGGAGCCTTCCGTGGCTTGCCATGGCGCTTGCGGCATTTCGCTGCTGCGCCGAGCACAACTGAAGCAGTTATGCTTGGTGCAGCAACCGTGCTGCACAAGGCTGTCGGCCGGGAAGCTTTGGGCAGGCTCCAGTTTACCAGCGCAAGCGCAAACTTCATTGCCACGGCCACAATCTGCACATGCATCGTGTTGCCGCCCATGCTGGCGAGCTCCTTGTCGGTCACTCTGCTGGGAAAAACCATACGGTGAATTGGAAAACCGTGCAGCATGACTTTTTCAAGCGGGCTAATGATCCTTCCAGCTCGTGCGGATACCAATACGGCCCCAGGTGTAACAGTAGGCAGGGAGCCATCGGTCCGCACACGGGCTCGGTTCACATTCTGGGATACATCCGCGACAAGCTCCTGACTGCCTGCATGCTTTGTGCAAATGATGTCCCAGGCATCACGCTCACGCGGCAAATGCAGGAACAACGTGTCTGCGCAGCAGGCGACTCCGCTCTCAGTGCAAGGCCTCCGACTCTCACTCTTCAACCGGCTGCCCTGCTGCATTGAAGATTTGCACATCTTGTGCAATTCTTTCCACTTTGGAGCATGGGAGCCTGGAGCCTGGGAGCCTGGGAACCCACGGTTGGAAGCTTGCGACCACTTCCGTTTTCGGCTTTCCTGGTACTGTGCCACAGCAGGGTGGCTCGCCGGTAGCAGTCTATCCAAAAGATCGACTGCGTCTCCGGAAGCAACTGAATCCTGGACTTCCGCCCAAGCCTCACGAAGCCAGCACGACATGTCCTTTGGCGAGATGAGGCTCACATCTTGCCGGACCCCGATGAAGTAGTACCTAGGCCTCTGGATGGGCTCCTGTAGCTCGGCAGGGTTCATCAAAATCATTTCGACATGATAGCCTGTGGACCTGAGTGCCGCCAGAACCTTTGCAGAAACACGCTTGATGCCTGACACATTCTCCAGCACGAAGCACGAGGGCCGCACAAGTTGGATGCGTGCAACGACCCCATAGAATATTTGAGCCTTGACTTATTGTGCAGCAGGCTGAACGGCTTGCAGCTGAAGCCGGCAATGTACAGGTGAACGAACGGTGCCTTGTCAGCATCCAGGACACTGTGGAACAATACCGAGGGCTTGGTATTAGCCTCGATAACCGACCGAGGACCAGCAGCCACCTCACTCCCAAACAAATGCTGGTGCGGGATGCCGAGCTCCCTAAGGCCATGGATCGGTGCATCAATGCCACTGCAATCAGTTCCCACCAACAATCTTTGTGGAAGCTTGGCCGCCCCGAGACCAAAACGGGCATGAGTCGCACCGATGCTGGCATCGGTGGCACTCTGAAAGCCGGACCCCCAGCCATCCAGCCACTGCCTCAAAGTGCCTGGAATCATGGCGGCAGCGACTCTACTGGGCCTTGGAGCCTGAGAGCCTGGGTGCCTGGGTGCCTGGAGCCTTGAATGCAACGTTTAAGTTGAATGCTGCACTTGCTGACAACTTCAAACTTCGCGACACGTGACTGGCACTGGGACAGAAGCAACGGCGATGATCCCACCAGACCAGTACCCCTCAATTGACCCTTGGATGCACACAAAACACCCTTAGATGCAGTGCCTGGCCTGATCGTTGCATCCAAGGGTCATCCGGGTGCATTGAAGGGTCCTTTCAAGTTTTGGTGTGTGCTTTGCTGAAGGAATACACGTGGTACAGGGTGTGGTTTAGGATTTAGGTGGCTTGGTGTCGAGGGCTTCGAGTGTAACCTGGGTTTCAGCAATTGACCCTTGGATACACCCAAAACACCCTTAGATGCAGTGCCTGGCCTGATCGTTGCATCCAAGGGTCATCCGGGTGCATTGAAGGGTCCTTTCAAGTTTTGGTGTGTGCTTTGCTGAAGGAATACAGGTGGTACAGGGTGGGGTTTAGGATTTAGGTGGCTTGGTGTCGAGGGCTTCGAGTGTAACCGGGGTTTCAGCAATTGACCCTTGGATGCACACAAAACACCCTTAGATGCAGTGCCTGGCCTGATCGTTGCATCCAAGGGTCATCCGGGTGCATTGAAGGGCCCTTTCAAGTTTTGGTGTGTGCTTTGCTTAAGGAATACAGGGGGTACAGGGGGGCTTTAGGATTTAGGTGGTTTGGTGTTGAGGGTTTCGAGTGTAACCTGGGTTTCAACAAAATTATCATCGACGAGCAACAATGTTTGAAGACTTGTATCAATTCAATCTTTGTGGAAGCTTGGCCGCCCCGAGACCAAAACGTGCTGGCATCGGTGGCACTCTGAAAGCCCGAACCCCAGCCATCCAGCCACTGCCTCAAAGTGCCTGGAGACGCACGGAGGGCTGGTAGACATGCAGCCTCAGGGGCTTGGAGCCTGAGAGCCTGAGAGCCTGGGCGCCTGGGGGCCTGGGGGCCTGGAGCCTTGAATGCAAAGCTTGAATTCTGCACTTGCGCAACTTCAGACTTCGCGACGAGTGACTGGCACTGGGACAGGAGCAAAGCCGATGATCCGACCAGTAGAGCCTCCCCCTCATTGCAGGAACAATCTGACGGGACAACAGGATCCCTGGCCCAGATTTTGCCCCAGCTGGCGCATTAGCCCATTGGCCCAGCTGTCATCTGCCACTGCCTTGGCAGGTTGGCCTCAAGGCTGTTCCTGCGGGCCGACACCCGGCCAACGGTGCCCACAGTGACGTAACGGCAGCATACACTGTGTGGGTAAGGCCAAAATGCACACTCTATTAGGCCTTGGAGCCTGAGAGCCTGGGTGCCTTGGTGCCTGGAGCCTTGAATGCAACGCTTAAGTTGAATGAAGCACTTGCTGACAACTTCAAACTTCGCGACGAGTGACTGGCACTGGGACAGAAGCAAAGGCGATGATCCCACCAGACCAGTACCCCTCAATGACCCTTGGATGCACACAAAACACCCTTAGATGCAGTGCCTGGCCTGATCGTTGCATCCAAGGGTCATCCGGGTGCATTGAAGGGTCCTTTCAAGTTTTGGTGTGTGCTTTGCTTAATACAGGGGGTACAGGGGGGCTTTAGGATTTAGGTGGTTTGGTGTCGAGGGTTTCGAGTGTAACGTGGGTTTCAGCAATTATCGACGATCAAGAACAGGACATTGATTGGAGTGCGGGGTTTAGGGTTTACTTAATTGTTTTATATATTAATCTAATATATTTAAAATTACAAATACAATATTTTTAAACATTATTTTAAATTTAATTAAAACTTTAACCCTAAACCCTAAACCCTCATGGGGGCTGTTGGGGGTTGAAGCCTTTACTGGAGTGGGCATTTTAGGGGTACCAGGCTTTAGGGAGCGGGGTTTGAGGCAGGGACGTCGGCCAGGAAGGGCTATGGGCAGGGTTTTAGGCTTACGGCGGGCTCATAGGCTTTGAGCCGAGTACCGTAAAATGGTGATAATCTTAAAGGGTTTAGGGTCTGGAATTTAATAGGGTCCAGGGTTTAGGGTTTAGACGATTTATGGCCTCCTTTAAACAAAAACGTTGCTAAACCCCGCCACTACCTCTTCTTTTAATTAATTTGTGAGGGGTTTGCCAAATTTTTCAAAATCCTTCGCAGCCTTGGAGCCTTGGAGCCTAGGGGCCCTCGCGGACGCGTGACGCGTGCGTGACAATGTGTTTCTGTCACGCTATACGCGCATCAGTGCCACTTCGAGCAGGAGCTCTGGATTGGCCGTGTGGAGCAACACCAAGTCCAGCTCTTTACCTGGCCTTGCGAGCTCATGTACGCGCTTCTGTCTGAGGGTCCGTGGACCGGTGCGCCGGCTCACAGCCGCTGCGCAGTCTCCATGCTGCCATGTGCAGCCCCAGTTTTTGCCGCGACCGGCAATTGTACTCGTCGTATGGCCTCCAGGATTGGGAACGCAGACGCTGCATTGTCCCGTGGAGTTGTTGCCATACCACGCTTAGCTCGTCTGATTCGAGCATCGTGTTCATAGGGCTCAGCCCCGCGGCGATGCCCGATACGGGACATGCCTTTGTGTGAAATCCGGTTTAGGATTTAGGGGTTTAGGGGTTTAGGGGTCTAGGGTTTGGGGTTTAGCGGTTTAGGGTTTTAGGGGGTTTAGGGGGTTTAGGGGTTTAGGGGTTTAGGGTTTAGGGTTTAGGGGTTTAGGGGTCAGGCTTTACAGGGGTTTAGGGTTTTTTTGATGCGATGGCAGAGGGGTTTAGGGTTGAGGGGATTAGGGTTAAGGGTTTCGGGGCTAAGGGTTGCAGGGCAACTCCGAAGCAACAGGGTTTAGGGTTTGTAAGGATTTAGGGTTTAAGGTTTGTAAGGATTTAGGGTTCAGGGTTTGTAAGGATTTAGGGATAGGGTTTGTAAGGACTTAGGGTTTAGGGTTTGTAAGGAATTAGGGTTCAGGGTTTGCAAGGATTTAGGGTTTAAGGTTTGTAAGGATTTGGTTTAGGGTTTGTAAGGATTTAGGGTTTAGGGTTTGTAAGGACTTAGGGTTTAGGGTTTGTAAGGACTTAGGGTTTAGGGTTTGTAAGGATTTAGGGGTTTAGGGTTTGTAAGGATTCAGGGTTTAGGGTGTGGCTTTAGGGCTTAAACACTCGCAAGGGTTTAACCCTAAACCCTTAACCCTAGGCCCTAAACCCTAAAGCCCAAACCCTAAATCCTTACAAGCCCTAAACCCTACTGAACCCTAAGTCCTTACAAACCCTAAACCCCAAATCCTTGCAAACCCTGAACCCTAAATCCTTACAAACCCTAAACCCTTACAAACCCTAAACCCCTAAATCCTTACAAGCCCTAAACCCTAAATCCTTACAAACCCTAAACCCTAAGTCCTTACAAACCCTAAACCCTAAGGCTTGCAAAGCCTGAACCCTAAGTCCTTACAAACCCTAAACCCTAAATCCTTGCAAACCCTGAACCCTAAGTCCTTACAAACCCTAAACCCTACGTCCTTACAAACTCTAAACCCTAAATCCTTAAATCCTTATTACAAACCTCCCAGGTTAAGTTATTAAGACAGAACTGAGCCCAAGCAATCATACCACTAATGTGCATCCAAGGGTGGCTTCAACTTAGTAAGTTGAAGCCACCCTTGGATGCACACAAAACACCCTTGGAAGGCCTGCTCGGCGGCATCTGCGCATCCAAGGGTGCCGGAGGCGCATCCAAGGGTCCTGGGGTCGTATGGTATTTAAGTAAGGATTTAGGGTTTAGGGTTTGTAAGGATTTAGGGTTTGGGGTTTGTAAGGATTTAGGGTTTAGGGTGTGGCTTTAGGGCCACTCAAGGTTCCAAGGCCTAAACCCTAAATCCTTGCAAACCCTGAACCCTAAATCCGTACAAACCCTAAACCCTACGTCCTTACAAACCTTAAACCCTGAGGCTTAACTGACAGACTCAGATTATTTTAATTATTAATAAATTATTATGTTAAATGTTAAAACCCTTAACCCCCCAATCCTGGCTGGCCTGAGCACGCCAGCCGGGCCGGGATGAAGATCGCCTGCCGCGGGAGGGGGGGGGTTCTGGTGTTTATCGGGCTGGGGGGTGCTACTTGACAAGCTGACTGAAGAAAGCACTTTTTTTGCATGTGCGCTCGCTGTCGGCCACACTGCTGGAGGGGCAGGCAACATCACTAGACTTGACGTTGCTCTGCACATGCCAGGATTCATCTGGAAAGCTGGACAATGCCAGGATTCCGTCGTGGCTGGCTGGCTCATGAAATCATTGGGCACAAGCTGCTTGTCCCTCTGTGAGTTCGGCCAAGATCCTAAGCCTAGGAGCCTTGGGAGCCTGGGAGCCTTGGAACCTTGAACTTGAGTGAAACAAAGCTATAATACATTTACACATTATCATATTAATTCATTGTATTGTCATTAATATAAATCATGGCTCCTCAAGACATCCCAGCCTTAGAACCTAGGAGCCTAGGGGCCTGGGGATCGCCTGTGCAAAACATAGCCAGCCAGCAATGAAACAGTCAGCAGGCTTCACTGATCAGGGTTCCTGGTGCCTGACCATGTCATAGCCAAGTCGACCTGTCGCCCCCATTTACCGCACCGGCAGAGGGTGACCGTGTACGGCCTGCCAATGGCATCCAGGTGCCGCTGAAACTTCATCACCAAGGGCACCCGCTTCCACAGGATCACGCGCTCCTGGGATGGAAGGTTATCAGTCTAGTTAATACTAAACTTTTAAAGTACATGTTGTCGCCCAGGCGCCAGAGTGTAGCCATCCAAGAAGAGCCCGAAGTCGTCCCCATCGCCCAGGTAGGCGAACGTCACCTCCCTCTTCTTCGAGAAGCGGAAGTCCTCCATGGTCTCTTCCAGATCGCCCTTGATCACCTCACAGAACGGCATCTTCGTCTCCGTCACGAACTTCTTCGAAGCGCAAACCGTCGCTGGGATCAGGCCGATGGAGTAGAAATAGCCTTGATCGGTCGCCCACAAAGACTTGGATCCGTACAGCTTCGCCATCTCAATGCCGTCGGCAGGGAGTGGCGTAATGAAGTGCCCAAACCCGGGATCCATCCGGGCAGTGTTGGTCATCACCTCCGACCGCCTTGGATTTTTATCAATTAAAAACTTAATTTAATTTAATCATAACGGAACGGCACAAAATACTGAGCCAAGTTGCCGCAGGGCTGAGTTGAAGACAGCAAGCCGCACGCCGCACTTGTACAGCTTGTTTTCATACTCCTCGGTGAAGCGCTCGCGGAGGAAACTGTTTTGGAGCATCATCTCGTTCCTCTCCTCCACGGATGCGAAGGTCTGCGCAGCAATGCCTATCGGAGCAGATCTTGGTACCGCTGACAGGAACCCGCATTTGTGCAAGAACATGGAGGCAAAGGCCAAGACATCCTGGGCGTACGATGACACCGACAAGAGCAAGCCATCCGACATGATCGACAGTGACCATCCTGCCCACTGGGGATCCTGGTCCTTGGTTAAGTCTGGACTCAGTCGAATGAGTCAAATATAATATAATAAGTCAAACGATGCAAACAATCTGTTACTCCAACTTCGATCTAGCCTAGCCAGGGTTCGAAGCGATTCAATATACATCCTCGCGCAGCCCCGTTTGCTATGTATGGGAACAAGAGGATGCGGACCACCTTTTCGTCAGACGCATAGAGAAACTGATCCAGAAGCTCCCGGATGCAGCACGCCACCTCAGTGCAATTAATAATAATTACATTCATTCACAGATTTAAGTTAATTAATAACTTCATCAGGCTCAGGTACAACAGAGTACACCTGCGGCGTTGCATTCTGCGGCGGCATGGACGTCGCGATGCTCTGCAACTTGGGCATAACCTCCATGTCTTCCCACGGGAAATCTGAGTTGACACGATCTTCAGAACAATTCAAATGAAAAACTAAACTACAACCTACTATTATTATTATTATGATTATTATTATGATTATTATTATGATTAATTATTATTCTTTAATTATTATATTATTAAATTAAATTTTAATGTTATTCTGCCGAGGTACATGCTATGATGCCACAATTGTCGGAAAAACTGCCGTCTGGGTAGAATGAGCTGCGATACGCATTGAACCCTGCCAGTGCCCACGTGAACTGCTCACTCGTGTCGTAACGGTCTCTCAGCAGGTCCGGCGCTTGCTTCAGGTGCCTGGAGGATCTATAAATAATAATTATAATAAAAAACTGATTTACTATAATTTCAAAGCAATAAACCAAATAATTAAACATCTAACTTGAACTCCCAAAGTCTTAATACAAGTCTAGTCGTTCAATTAAGCCAATGTGCATATAGTGGGACTGGAGATCCGTAGCCTTGTAGCGCAGCATCGCCGGTTTGATCATGGACTGAAGGACTTGTGGGATGTTCTCGCCGACATCCGACGAAGTGGCATCGTCACTGGCCCTTGCCAACGAAGTCGATCCCGAGCCAGGCTGCTGCTGCTGCTCCTCCTCCTCCTCCTCCTTGGGCTCTGAGACCATTGTGAAGCCCTCCGACTCTGCCGTCTCGGACTCGGACGGCTTTGCAGCCGCAGCTGCGGCGGTGTCCGTGGACGCGGCCGCCTTCGCTCGGAGCTTCAACGAACCCATGTCCGAGCTGCTTGACATAAATGCTAACCCAGGTAACTGGTCTGGCTCCTGATTCAGGAGCCTGAAACCTGGGAGCCTGAAAGAGCCTGGGAGCCACCGTGACAGGAAACGCAAGTGAAAGCAGCTGACTGTGATTGCATGTGGTGCACGGCAAACACTCCAGGCATGCATGCAACACTCCGCAGGTGCATGCAAAACTGGCGGCTTGCCTTCACGAAGAGCCGCGGCGGCCGTCGGCAGGTGCTCAAAACCTCAGTGGAACTGACTGAAATCTGGGAGCCTAAAGTGCCTGGGAGCCTAAAGTGCCTGGGAGCCACCGTGACAGGAATTTCAAGTCAAAGCAGCTGACTGTCATTGAATGTGGTGCTCGGCAAACACTCCAGCGGCAACACTCGCAAGTCAAAGCAACTGACTGTGATTGCATGTGGTGCTCGGCAAACACTCCATTGGCAACACTCCACGGGTGCGTGCAAAACTCGCGGATTGCCTTTGCAGAGCCGCGGCGGCCGTCGGCAGGTGTTCAAAACCTCAGTGGAACTGACTGAAACCTGGGAGCCTAAAGTCCCTGGGAGCCTAAAGTGCCTGGGAGCCTTTAAAGTGAAAGCTGCTGACTGTCATTGCATGTGGTGCTCGGAAAACACTCCCGCGGCAACACTCGCAAGTCAAAGCAGCTGACTGTGATTGCATGTGGTGCGCGGCAAACACTCTAGGCATGCATGCAACACTCCACGGGTAAATGCAAAACTAGCGGCTTGTCTTCGAAGAGCCGCGGCGGCCGTCGGCAGGTGTTCAAAACCTCAGTGGAACTGACTGAAACCTTGGAGCCTAAAGTCCCTGGGAGCCTAAAGTGCCTGGGAGCCTTTAAAGTGAAAGCTGCTGACTGTCATTGCATGTGGTGCTCGGAAAACACTCCAGCGGCAACACTCGCAAGTCAAAGCAGCTGACTGTCATTGCATGTGGTGCACGGCAAACACTCTGGGCATGCATGCAACACTCCATGGGTAAATGCAAAACTGGCGGCTTGTCTTCGCAGAGCCGCGGCGGCCGTCGGCAGGCGTTCAAAACCTCAGCGGAACTGACTGAAACCTGGGAGCCTAAAGTGCCTGGGAGCCTAAAGTGCCTGGGAGTCACCGTGACAGGAATCGCAAGTCAAAGCAGCTGACTGTCATTGCATGTGGTGCTCGGCAAACACTCCAGCGGCAACACTCGCAAGTCAAAGCAGCTGACTGTCATTGCATGTGGTGCTGGGCAAACACTCCAGGGGCAACACTCAACGGGTGCATGCAAAACTGGTGGCTTGTCTTCGAAGAGCCGCGGCGGCCGTCGG